AAAATTAAAACTGGTATATGTATGTTACTTCGTTGTGCTTTAAGCTGTTTCTTTTTTCAGACATACATAGTGGAGTAAATATTTTAATTGGGACTGATAGTGAACTTCTTTCTCCAACTCTTTCCTAAACCCCACTGCTGTCTCCCTTCAGCTGTTCATTATGGGAGGCAAAGAACAATCTCTCTCTGGCAGAACCAATTTGGGTAGGGACTGGGGGGATACAGCGGTTCCTGCCTCTGAGAGCTGGTTCCATGGCATTTAAAATCTTCACAGGAGAGCACCTAATGAAGTACCCATCAATGCTCACTCTCTGTGTGGTGGTTTTAGCTTTTTCCAACTTGAGGAACCGTGTGGATTCAATTGTGCCAAATGCAAAAAACAGTATTTTATTTGTATTACATTTTTAGTCAGCATATTTAACATTAAACTGGGGTAGTATACATAGTTAACAAGAAAACAAATGCATTGGGACGACATGAGCTAACAAGTGCAAATATATTTGTAAAAGACTTCTTATTCACAGAAAAAACACTTCAAATACAAATTAATATTTCCATATAAGAAATTCATAGTAAATTTTTGAGCAGCTGTTTCCACAGTTTTTAAAATCATCCCTTTAGTGTTGATGGGGTAACTGTTCAAAGCAATGAAGTATTGTTTTTTTTAAATTAATTACAAGAGACCTAATTCTGGGAAATCCAATTTAGTTTTCACCATTCAATTAAATGTGATTTAGAGACTGGAACTGATTGTCCACCAATAGATGTTTAGAATAAAGCTTATATTCACAGGTTAAGTAAAAGAGAGTGGTAACAGCTTTTTCAGTACATTAGATTGCTGTGCAAGATGTGTGGCCATTGTCCAGTAGTAGCAGTGGGCCATTACTGGGAGCAGTTCATTTCGTCACATGCCTTTTAGCACTGGGCGGTTATTCAGGAACACTCCATTAAGTTCCAAAATGCTCGTTCATAGAGGTACTCTCAGCTCCATTACAATAGCATTATTTACAGAGAGCCAACTCCCCGAAGCATGCAATTTCAAGTATTTAAAAGTTTCTCCATTGAAATACAAAATGGTGGATGTAGTATTACTGATCTCATTCAGTGGACTGGTCAATTTCCTGAGAGTACAAGTGTATCAAATCCATTTATTTTGTTTCATAGATATCCGTGTGTCTCCGGATCAGGTTGAATTTGTTGGTAGGGTCTGGAATGTACCATTTTTCCCAGACTTCTGCATAGGATGCTGTCCTTCCCCAGGGTTTGAAATGTCCATTCCAGTGGAGTAGTTTGGCAGCTTTCACAAACTGTGGCGAGTATCTTTTACCAGCACTAGAACCTTTGGATTAAATGACAATGGTTAGTTAACTTAAATGTCTACCTATTAGGGGTGTGCAGTCAGTATATACTAAGCCAAATAAATACCTGAAAAATACCTTATCAGTATTTTTTGAATAAAACCCAATATTATTCAGCTTTTGTTTGGTGCAGCTAAATGCGTTTAGTTAACTGGCTGAGTCGAGCCACCGCTGCAGCTCAGTGAGTGAACTGAACACATTTAAACTTTAAATGGCTTCAGTTTAGTTGCACCACTGCCGCAGCACAACTTGGCAAGTGAAATTCTCCATTATACCCTATGGGGGATGGTCCCTATAGGGTATAATGGAGCAAAATAAATTCAGGTTTCCCAAATATTTACCTGAAAACCAGTACAATACTAATACTGGTATTCAGGAATACCAATATTTTTTGGGTCTAATAGACCCGAATTGGTTAAAAAAAATTTTGCATACCCCTACTACCTATCCAAAAAACACTGATGATAGTAAGAATAGGAAATAGCGGGGATTTTTAAAAGTTTTTTTTTTAATTATTTATTCACTTCCACATTCACAAAGATACAGCATCATGAAAGCACAACACTTATAAAAGTTTTGAGTCGATCGGTATTTTTTACTTGCTGCCAAGTTGCACAGTTTGATTTATCATTACAATTGATGCTTTCTCCTCTTTTCAAAATGACTGGGTAGAATGGACTGACATGCAAACTTAAATTACAAGAGTTGTCTTGCTAAATCAAACCAAAGGCATCACGCTTCAGGGAAGTTCACAAACAAGTGAGATGGAAAAAGTCAATTATTTGTGCCTAGCATCTGGTTGTCATATATATTGCCTCTGAATCAAGGAAGAAGCCTAACGTCAGAATAAGAGAGGACAAAGCATAGAATCTTGGGTAGCTCCACTGAAGTATACCAACTTTTTTTATTTCTTGTGCCTCCCACTAGTTGATGTGCAAAAGTTGCATATGCAAGTACTACATAAGAGCTTCAAATACACAAGTCTTTTGAAAATATCTAGCTTAATAATGAATAAATTCCAGGAAATAAGACCATGATTTGAATCCCACATGAACAAAGTCATTGCAAGTAGTCCTTAGGTAGAAACTCAACTGTATAATCCTGTTTTGTGTTTCTCCTTGTGCAAGACACAGCACAAGGTGTATCAGGATCATCACACTAAAAACTTTTGATCAAATCATGTATTTCCAAAGTGGATTGTAGTAACTACATCAAGTACCCCTTGATTTTTGTAAACAATACTGATTAGAAAGGAAAAATCAGCACTTGATCTTGCAGTAGCTTTTGTGCAAATGGAACTATGTTAAATAAAATTTAGGCTATTGCTGCATATGGCAGGATTCAGCCCCATAGTTTCACTGCAAGATCTTTGAGCCATGGGAGTAAAGAGGAAGAAATAAAGGAGTATAGTTTCAGCCATATTTCAGTGTCGAATGTTTTTCTCCTGTACTTACCCAGATGGCGTACATTCCACATGGGATCAATGTTTGAATGCCTCTTGTAAAATACAATGAGCAGAGGGGGTGTAGTGATGCTGCCTGCAAGAGTCCTACTGTATATCTCCTCTCTAGGCAAAGGTAAAGAAAGTTAAGCTAGTTGAAGATGTAGCTCTCGAGAAGAAGTGGAAGTTATTTCTTCAACTACCTGCTGTACAAATTGTTGAGTAATATAGTGGCTAAGAGACTGAGCTACGAACAAGTCTTTAGCATAAATTTCAATAGCCTTAGATAAACCATACTCATTCAGCCCCCCCCCCCCACAATACAGGAGAAACAACAGCCTTGTTCTTATAAGTGTATAAGAGTTACTAACAACATATTTTGATTATTTCTTACTCTATAGGCTCAATATATAGGGGCAGAACATAAAGCAGGAATAAGGGAAAGCCACCTAGGAAGAGAAGCTAAAACAGTAATACAGTATTTATAAGTGGGCTACCCATGAGAATCCCATCTCTTCCCCCACAATGGGCCCAGGCTCACGATTGCCAGAGCAGAAGAAGAAATCGAAAACTAACTTGTATGAAGTTGGATCCAAGTGAGAGATGAAGGTCTAGGACCCAAAGAGGTGAAGTTCTGGGAAATAAACCAACTGCAAAGTTGGGGAGGGAGGCTTGGATGCAGAAAGATGCATATTTAGGGAGAAATGGCCTTGTTAGGTCAAAAAATGGGGTATAGCCAGCAAGATACCTAGAGGTAGGGGCCATTTCTTGTGGGAGTGCACAGGAGTGGAGCTCCGGCAGTAAGGAGCTCAGGGGGCGGGCACATGCAACAAGCCCCACCTCCCAGCAGCCCTCAGGCCACGAGGAGCAAGAAGCAGCCAGGTAAGTTGCAGAGCCCCCACCTTCAGGTACAAGCTCTCCCTCCTGAGGGCAGATCTGCATGTTCCCCTACCCCCCATAGCTAGTAATACAAAACAGTCCAGTGGAGCCTGAGTGGTGGGTGTTGCCTTCTGACACACTCCTGGTGATGTCAGAGGGTGTGGCATATGCAAATAAGTTATGCTAATGAGTTGCACCTCTCTCTGAAATGACCCCTGCCTAGAGGTAACTAGAACAGTAGACTGGGGCAGCTGTTCTACTGGCTCCTCCCCTCCCCACTCACAATGAGTTTATACTGTTTGTTTGAGCAGACAACATTCCTCTGTTTTGAGGGTATTTTTAATGTTTTCCTGCTGCAAAGGATACCCCTCCATTTGGCCCAATATAAGACAGAACAGGTGATCAATGATCCATTATTGTAACATTTGTTGTATTACAGCTAGGAGGCTAAGGTTGAATAGTGGCTTGCCTAAGTCACCCAGTTGATTCATGGCACATGTGAGATCTGAACCTTCCCCATTCATACGTAAAGCTCTCAGCCACTCTGTTATACTAGCTCTTTGATTATGGTATCAACAATAAGATAGCAGAAGGTTCTTATGTACAAAAGGGTGGGAAACCCCATTAAATTAAATCCTTTACATTCATGATCAGAAATACGCAGAAAATGGCTTAGAGACAATGTGATGTGAGAGCAGCAATGGAGACAAGACTGATTTTTAACAGTTGTCTAGATCAAAGATAAGAGCAATACTTTCGGATGCCTATAATACAGTAACCTCAACCCCCATGCCAACAAGATGTGAAATTCAAGCCTGGATAATACTCACACCACATTAAGTGCCATCCATTTCTCCAGGTCCTTAGTGATATTTTGTAACTTCCATTCTGTTAGATTAGCAACAAAGACCCCTGGATTGAAAGAGCACGTACTTGCTTTCATAGACAGCTTCCGAATGGCTTCTTTTTTATAATCAAGAAATCCAATGTAATTATACTGGAAATAAACAGATATTGGATCTCAATTTCAGTTGGTTACGTGTGTCTCGTCTTGCTGCCAGAAGGTTTTATTGCCCAGTTTTTTGTCATTAAGGAAAAACAATCCATATGTTTAGGTCTACTGTCAACCCAAAACAATGTGATGGTCTGTGTTAAAAAACACTTTCCATATATCTCCAGGTGATGAACTACATCTTTAACCCTTTACTATTAACAACCAAGTTGTTTATGTGGTATATTAATAGTACTCCAGTTATGATACTCCACATGCATTTTACATCCCAAGATTAATTCTTGCTATCCAAAGATAATTATTTAGGCTCCTGATTGGTATGCACTGGGCCTTTAAAGTATGCCAGAGGACAGCTAAGACTCCAGTCTCATCAGAATCTTAAACAGATAGATGCCTTCCTTCATTTAATGATTTTGAAAACCCAAGCCAAGAAGTGCCGTGTAAAAATGTGAAATAACAAATACAGCTACAAAAGTAGAGACCGCTTCTAAGAAACTCGGCCTGTATCATTCACTGTTTCTTCTAAAGCCATGCACACCTGGTTTCCTGCTCCACGAACTGCAAACTTGTTTGTGGTAGAGTCGCAGTCATCTGAGAAAGCAGCTGCATGGCCAGGTTGCAGTTTAGTGTTATAAAGTTCAAGGATATCATCTGAAAAGAAAGCCAAGTAAATAAAAACGAATAGCAAAGGCAGATCATTCTCTACATTCTGTTAAATATTAATTCAGCAAATATTTCTGGTGGCATCCTTTTTCAATGCTTAGATGTCCAAGCAATGCTACTAAGTTAAAAACATAGAGCAGTATCAAAGTAGTTCCATGGACAAAAGATGTGGTTCTTGACACAAAAACGTGTGGTTCTTGAATAAGATTTGTCCTTGCCCCATGACAAAACTTTTCAAAGCAGTCCCGGATAGAGCATGGGAGACAGTAAACACTTCACTAACTTGCACAATCTCTAAATACATCTAAAGTGGCAATTTGTACTGCAATCAAATTTGCCTCTGATAATTTCACATAAAATGGGGGTTGCATCCTTATATAAGTGCTATACTAAGTATCAGTGAATGATAGTATTTAGTGGTCAGAATGTCTAACAGGGATCAGATTCAGATCTCCACAGAGCTGTGAAAGCTCATGGCTTGGCCTCAAGCCTCTTTTTCAGCATAATCGACTTCACAGGGTTCTTGGGAGGATAAAATGGAGAAAGGGAGAGCCCTTAGCTCCTTACAATAAAATTAGATATGGAGAGATCTGTGTATCCGAGTACAGTCTTCCTAGTACAAACTTCATGCATTGTGTCTGTCAAATTCATTCTAGCATGCTCTAAAGGAGCCTGAGTCTCTACATCTGTGAGTCTGACACTTGTGTGCAAGACTAACACTGTACACTTAAGTTTATTAACAATAGACAACATAATACAAAAACTTGATTGTCCCACTCCTTTTAAGAAAAGCAGTTTTAGTTTTTTAAAGCTCTTTCTGCAAACCACTAGGAAAACTATTATTTATTTTAAAAACATGTCTCAGAATCTAAACATCTCATGTTGCATCTGTTGCTTCATTTTACAGACTTGTAGTTCTGCTACAATTATATACTATTCAGATGGTACAAGCATCAAGATTAGTAAAGAACAGCAGTAATAATTACAAGAGGCATCATACTCTTTGGGGGTGTCAAAGTTATTTTTTAGACAAGATCCCCTGATTAAATTAGATAATTCGTTTGACCTAAGTTAAATTAAGAAGAAACGTTCCCATACCTTGCACAATCACATCATCATCCAAATAAATAGCCTTTTCTGCATTAGGGACCCAGTTAGGCAAATAGAATTTTGCAAAGGTTAGCTGGAGGGAAACAACCAAACATTTTTTAGCAAACATTTTTGCACCATTCTTTCCATTGTTCAGAAGTTAAGTAGGAGGTTATTCTCATTCAAATCAGTGCTACTAAATGAAAAACAGGCCGGCATCGAACTAGTTCCATAATACAGCATGAGAATATGCCATTTGTAGGAAAACAGAAAACATTTCACTAGTTAGCACTGTTTGGTGTGTCAAAAATTAGTTCCCTGATGTCTCTTGATAGTTTCTACCGTGCACCACTAAATATCGAAACTGAATTATTTCTGGAACTTCCTAATGCTTCTATCAGAGTTATCCCATACTAAACAGATGAATGAGGATTCATTCATTCAATCATTCATTCGTTTGTTTTGACTTTTATTCTGCCCTCCCTGCGAATGGGTTCAGGACAGATCACAGCAATAATATGAAATAAAATTCAGTAGTTAAAACAGTATGAATTAAAACAGGTAGCGCTATCAATTAAAGTGCAATAGTCTCAGAAGCTGGAGCCACCGGACCACTAAAAATCTGCTCTGTCTTGGCCACACAGAGATGGAGAGCTTCAGCAAGGGAGGCCAACTTGACTGGACATCTACCACATCATCCAAAGGCCTGACAGAACAGCTCCGTTTTACAGGCCCTGTGGAATGGTAGACAGTCCCACAGGGCCCTGATCTCAAGTGGGAGCATGTTCCACCAGGCCAGGGCCTGTTCTTTGGGCCAGGGACAACCAGCAGATATTGGTCAGCTGAGCACAAGGCTCTCCAGGGCACATATGGGGAGTGGCAGTCCCTCAGATATGTCAGTCCCAGGCTGCACAGGGCTTTTTAATTTTAATTTTAAGAAACGTTATTTCACACAGGGCCTTAAAGGCCAATACCAACACCCTGAAACGGATCCGGTACTCAATTGGTAGCCAGTGCAATTAGTGTAGCACCGGTCAAAAGCATGCCCGCGCGAGAACTCTGATCACATTAGTAACTGCAGTTCAGATTTTCTTCCATATCTGTATTCACTCATGAATTACCAACAATCATCCAGTATGCCATACTTTCTGTTTTTTTCAAACTAACATTGAATTAGTACTCACAGGCTTTATTGAGTCTGGCATTTCTGAGTCAATCCTTACTTTTCCATCCAACATATGGGGGTCAAAATCCAAAATTCGGTATTTCACATTTTTCAGACTCGTTTTACTAAGCCATGATCTGTATAAGGGAGAGAGCAATAGAACGTCACATACAGTTTTAAAATATTAAAATCATTTTATTCTTGAATTTGTGCTAGACATCTAGTGAACTGAATGTCAGACTTTGGTGTGCATTCACAACCAGCTCTGCCTGATGTTCATATACCAACCCTCAATTATCTACCTTATAGGATGGTTGTGAGGATAAATAAAAATAAAGGGTTGAATCCAGAATAAACAGGCAATTTTCTCTGATTCCCCCTTTCTGCTGCAGACTCATCTCACATTCTCCACGGGTTCACCTATGTTCTCAGGAAGAGCATTTTGTAGAGATCAGTGGGCTGCAGTGGCAAGGGAGAGACAAGAAAGTTCCGTTCTGCTCTGCCGCTGGAAAATTTAGTCTAGATCCAAAGCAAGGATTAGTATCCAGTTAAGTCTGAGAGGTGAGAAAAGATTTGAGGTCTCATTTATTTTATTACATTTGTATCTCACCACAGGAACACATGGGAGGTTCGAGCATTTCGATTTTCATGAAAATTCTGTAGGATGTTCTGTTTGACAGAGAGTAACTTGCCATGGCCACCCAGTAAACGTCCTAGCCAAACTAAGATTTGAATCAAAGTCTCCCCAATCCAACACTGGCTTCTTTCAAACAGGGCAGGAACACATGGGAGGTTTGTGCATTTTAATTTTCATGAAAATTCTGTGGGATGCTCTGTTTGACAGAGAGTGACTTGCCATGGCCACCCAGTAAACTTCCTAGCCAAACCGAGATTTGAATCAAAGTCTCCCCAATCCAACACTGGCACATGCTATAATTCAATAAGATGGCGACCAAAATTCTAGCAACAAACCTAATACAAATGACTAATGCTCATACATGAGGAGTCCTTCATTTTCAGCACCTTGAAAAACAGATTCTATAATATGCTGACAATGAGGAGCTCCTGCATTATAATCCTCTCTTTTTAATAACTCCTCCTTTATTTTGGCTACATGTCTTCATACCAAATATTATAGTCTTGGGGGGAAAGGATTTTTTTTTACCTCAGGGGGCTTTGTTTGTGTAATATATACAGTTACTCCCTGATGAGACTGCAGGATTGAAAGACAGAAGAAGGAATATGTTTTCCTAAATTATACTCTACTGAACCTGGAAGTAGTCTTTACTTGCTTAAAGTAGCCAAGTTTAGCAACATTTTGTGAACACATTTTACCTCAAATGGTCCACTGTATCATTCAGAGTGACAATATGGAATGCCACATTGGACTTGGTGTTTTGGTGAATGCTGTTCACAGCGGCAATTACACCCCCAAGCCTGTCATCAGAAGCTGTAATGACCACAGGTATTTCTCTGTCACTTTGGTCATCCATCAGCCTTTGAGGAGCCTCAGGAATAAAATCTATAGGCTGGAGTCCTAAAGGACTTGAATCTGCAGGACATAGCATGGATGTAACAGTTATACATAAAACATTACTCGCAAGATCCAGTCAACATCAAGCAATTCAAAGTCATGTTGATTTGAACGCGAAAGGTAAGCATACATTCAGTTCTGCCATTTAAATTGGTAGGACTCCCAATTGGCAGAAAGATGCCCTACCTAACATTTTACACAGTTTCTTAAAGTTTCCAATTACTTCTGTTAGGATGCAAGAAACCACAGATTTGAAAAAATCAAGTATTTTCTCTCTTCTTAATGACAAACCCTAATAAAATTTAGAGTTTCTTACAGACTAGATGGTCCTTAAGAACTATGGACTGATTAGAATAAAACTTAATGTTAAAAACTACTTTAAATGCTGTAATACTTCTGTGAAACAGCTAAGGTCTAAACTCATGGCTCAGCAAAGTCATAAGGCCATCTGCAAGGACTTTTCCCTCGCTAGTGATGCTTGGCACCATGTCATTTAACATGAGAAAAAGGAGGAAACAATTACCAGGACCCCATTGAAATAAATGACATATTTTTAGGGATGTACATGAATAAAACTAGCACAATAGCCTCTGACTGAAGTGGCTCTCAAAAGTCTCATGCAGAAGCACATCTTTCCCAACACCTGCTATCTGAGATTCCGTTTAACTACTGGTGCTGACTACTGAACCTTGGACCTTCTCCATGCAAAGCAGGTACTCTATGACTTGAGCCACATCCATCCCTTCCTTTCAAAGCTATGGTCCCTGCCTCCTTTGGAAGGCCTACCAGGTACAGGAATAGAGTTCAGACGGCCCGCACTCTCTCACTGTGTCCATCAATCAAGCAAAAAATATCTGGGTAAAACATGTTTCATACCAGAGGAAAAATTCGTCTGTTTATTTAAAAAGCTTGATGTAATGGCATGTCTCCAAACATCCCCCTTTTTAATGAAATGTATACGTAAAACAAAAGGCAACTATACCTGACAATTCCCTTTTCAATAGGTCACTGAGACCTAGTATATTGTGATGCAGCACTAACAGAAATATAACAACAGCAAGTACCAGGATGAATATGTTTACTGAAACAGAAGAAAAAAGAAGTCAGAACAACAAGAGTCAGGCAACTCTTGCATGTTTTAACAAAAACTTTTTACTATTTGGCAAGAGAAAAATACCTTTTCTGAATGTCATTTCCTCCTTTTGTTTTGGATGAAAAGTAGAGCTTTTTTAAAAATCTACAAAAAAGGAAACAAAGTACCACTATACCAGCATTCAAAAAGATATGTAAACCATTGTTGAAGGTTCACATTAAAACATTAGTGTTACAAACAAGGTGTTAAGTGAAAATGGATAAGACCATGTACACAATCATTTATGTATGTACTCTTCACATTAAAACATTAAATAGTGTTACAAACAAGGTCTTAAGTGAAAATGGATACAACCATGTACACAATCATTTATGTATGAACTTATGAAGGCATTTATACCCCCATACACACACACCATGTCAGAAACAACTGGACCTGCAGGTGAGTGCTATAGCGCTAAACCAATATAGCACTTCAGTGCTATAGCAGCACCATTGAGATCTACTGAGTCAATGAAGTTAAGGCATCTCAGTGGTGCCACTACAACACTGAAGTGCTATAATGGTTTAGCGCTATAGCACTCAAGTTAGAATGTAAAAAAAATCTGAGGAAGATTGCGCTGCGAGAAAGGACATGAAAAAACGACATTGTAGGAAGTGCTTTGAACATTTTAAAATTCAGAAGGACAACAAAGGAAGAAAGCAGTTTCCCTAAAAAGTGGCTCGACCATGCTTTTCTAACCTGACATAAGAGGGCTTGTATGAACAGGTGAATAAATTCTGCTAGCAGCTGGTTACTAAAACAGGTCTGTCTGAAATGACAGGAAAAAATCCATTAGCAACCAGTTACTAAAACAGAATACAAAGGCAGTTTGAAAAGGGCTTTCCTCAGGGAAGGTGTTCCACAATGCTTTAGCTGCCATTGAGAAAGAACAAGCCTACTCTGTGGCCAATCAGATGATTCAAAGAGAGAGCATTCCAGTAGGAGGATGTTACATGAGGATCTGAGGTGATAAACATGCCCATAAACCAGAAGAGATTGCCTCTCAAATACACTGGTCAAATAAGCTGGTCCCAGACTGTATAAAGCATTAAAGGTTATGACCAGCACCTTGAATTGGACTTGGAAACATACTAGTAACCAATGTAGCCATTCTAAGATGAGAGTAATATTATACTATTTCTGTGCTCCAGTGACAGATGAATTGCTCCATTTTGTACCAACTGAAGTTTATAGATTGTCTTCATGCACATTGTGTTAATTTTGCTGCTAAGTCACAGAAGAATGGATTTGATGATGATGATGATGATTAAATTTATGAGTCGCCCACCCTGTGAGCAAGCTCTGGGTGATTTACAGCATTATAAACATTTAAAATACAATTAATATATAGTTAAGATTACTAAAAATAAAACAAGAGATTAAAACCAATCAAGATGGCAATAAAGTTATACTCCTTTGCTGACCACATGGCTGTTCCACACAGCAGGGTGGGAGGGGCATGTGGGGGCCACAGAAGAAATAAAAGAGGGTGCCAGTCTTAATCTCCTGTTGCTGCCCTTGACTAAAAGCCTAGTGGAACTTCTCTGCCTTACAGGCCCCGTGGAATTGCATCAGATCCTGCAGGGCCCTGATGTTATTCAGCAGAGAGTTCCACCAGGTTGGGGCCAGGACTAAGAAGGCCATGGCCATAGTCAAGGACCCCCAGACCTCCCTAGCAAGATCTGCACAACTCAGGAAGGGTAACAGTTTCTGCACCAAATGCAGCTGTTAAGATGCATTCATCATCACTGCATTAACCTGCTCTTCTAAAACAAGTGCTGGATCCAACAATACCCAAGGTAGTCAAATGTTAATCCAGCCAATGAGGGCATGGGAATCTCTTCCAGATTCGCTGTTTTACCAGCCAGCATAACCTCTATTTGACCACGGCCACCAGGCACTGGCTCAGCACAGTGGTTTATTCAAAGAAACACAGAGCAAAGTATCACAAGCATACTAATGACACCAAACACTCATGCTGTGGACAATCTCAAAGACATCATATATAAATTAAACAGCACAGATGGAAGGACTGAACCCTGTAGAATCCACAGGACAAATCCCACGCCCCTTTGAGGTTTAAGTAATCTTTACCACAGTAATTACTTGATATTAAACATAATATCAACAGGAGAGAACTTACCCATGCTATTTTTCACACACCCAGCATCTCATTTAGACTGAATCCCAGCCAGTATGTCTGCAATGTTAGCATGCAAGAGGATTGCAGCCTGGGTAGGTATTGTGTTGATAGGTTAACATAGGAATTGTAGGCACTTTGTACCCACAGTTCCGTTTAGGCCCATTGAAACAAGACACTGAGAGTATTCAACATTGCATACATAATTTCTTCATGTCCACAAGCATCATATTCCAACTGGGTCTTACCTGGGATGCTGGAGAAACTGAAAGATAGTAGATAATAAGTAAACATGTATGTGCTACCCACTGGAGGGAGGATTGCTAACAATTGACTACTTATATCAAGCTGTTTCTAAGATGCAATGTCAATAGGGAGAGATTATTAAAACAGACAAATCCACCTTGTAAAATATTTCCACTGCATTGCACTTTGCACACACACAAACAAGACAGTTTCTTCATTGCTTTCACTATATGCAGGCTATTAATGCTACACTTGACAATTTACTACTTTGCATGTGAATTGAGCACCACCTGTGTTTGAGTGACATATTTCCACCTTAACTTCTCTGCAAATCAGGGAGAACTGAGCTCATGAAGATGTAGGAGAGGACAAGGGTCAGCAGCAGTGTTCCCTCGAAGCTGAGTTAGTGTGAGCTAGCTCACAGTTTTTTAGCCTTTGCTCAGGAAGGATGGCTCCAGAGCAAACTAATTTATGCAGCAGCCAAATCACTCGCTCACAACTTTAATGCCAGTATCTTACAAAGTAGAATTGTTGCTCACAAAACTCCACATCTTAGAGGGAGCATTGGTCAGCAGACTTCTCAATGTACTGCTAATCTGGTATTTCACAGTTCCAATAGCATCTTGGAAGGTTATGTACAGCAGAACTATAACAAAGTACAGAAAAAATGCATACAAACCACATTTAGGATTAAGTTTAAACATACATGTGGTTGACGAATTAATTTCATATGCCACAGCTTACATTCTGCTGCACTAATCTGTAGTGAGACTACTTTAGAATACATTAACTGTTTGCAACCAAGTCACTAATTTTATTCACATAATATGTCAGGTTATCCATAAGGCACAACGTGTCCCAATTACACTGCTGTGCTCAGTTTACACATTCTATAAATCTTGACTATTCACATTTTAATTCAGTTACCACTCAACCATCACAGGGCAAACAGATTCATTTTTGCAACATGTATTTAAATACTTTGCAGTATTTGCTCTGCTGTTTATGAATTCTGTAAATTTGATTCCAGTTTTCCCACATCCACAACCTAGTTTGTAACACAGGAACATTTGATTTTGTTTGAATTAAATCAGAACTTTTGCTCCGCCTATCTAAATTTCTGCCTAAATCTTTCCTCTCTCACAGTCCCAAAATATAGTACTGCCAATGATGGCACAACACGTTGTGTTGTGTCTGACTTGAAAGGCATAATAGAAATCAAATAATAATAATAGATCAACTGTATGTAAAATTATAACCCTCTAATGGGATGTAAACCTTGAAAACCCACATCCTCCAAAACGAAGTACCAGGACTTGTTCCCCTACCAGTCACAGTCTGGAAAAGGTTAGCCCGCTGAGTGGATCTGCTCCATAAATAAAAAAGCAGACAACGACCAATACCAAACAGGGAAAATTCACGTACATGTAAGTACTTGTAGCAAGCAGGCGGGAGTAACCGACAAACTCCTTCTATTCCTAGTAGTCTTGCTTGTTTGCCCACAAAACAGAGATCCTTATATTTCTTCCTTCCCTCCATACAATCTAGCAGCCACGAACGAAATGCCAACTCAACAACAGCAAGTTGTCAGAGGCTGGAGTTTACCAGGGTGCCCTTTGCAGTGCCTGAGCAGAAAACAACTAACGGGTATAAAATAAGCCTGATGGCACTGCAGAGTCTCACGCACTTACCCATTTTGCCGTATACAAACACTAAGAGAAGGCGGACCAACTGGAAACATGAGCAGGCACTGAACTAGAATCCTCTATAATAATCAGGACCTCTCCATCCGGAGGGTCCTTGTGCTTCTTGCGTGCCTGTTGCCATGGAGACGGAGCACAACATTCTGGGAACGTTAGATAAGGCTGCGGATTTCTCGGGTAGACGTTACCGAGCGGGAGACGGCGGGAATAAGAGTGCGGAACAGCGTTAATCAACCTGAACAGGAGAAATAATTTACCCATCCCGTGCCGGAAATCCATGAACGATGAGGCGGGGCAAGAAAACGTCGGTTCCGGCGAGCTCGGTGGTAGTGCCCGCCTTGCGGTCTCGACCCGCCACTAGAAAGCCGGAAGCGCCTGCTAACACTTCCCCCGTTCGCTCTTCTGCTGCGGGGGGCGCCAATTCTCTGCGCGATCCCTTTCAGGCTGCGCGGCCCGAGAGCAAGCCCTCGTCCGCCAGGCTTCACGGGCCCTTGTCGGACTCCGACTCGGCTCCCGCTGTGGGCTCAGAGACCAGCGAAGCCCAAGAGTCGCCGCCTCCTCCCCCCATCCAAAACAGCGTCGAGAGCGGCCGGTGCGTTCAGGCTGCGCGGCCCGAGAGCAAGCCCTCGTCCGCCAGGCTTCACGGGCCCTTGCCAGACTCCGACTCGGCTCCCCCCGTCGGCTCCGAGATCAGCGAAGCCCCAGAGTCGCCTCCCGCTGTCGGGCCAGAGACCAACGAAACCGAAGAGTCGCCTCCTCCTCCGCCCCCCATCCAAAACAGCGTCGAGAGCGGCCAGTGCGCTCGAGGCTTGGCTTTGGAACTGGACAAAATGTTCAACATATTCCAGTCCATTCCTACGCAGATGGTAAGAGAGGCGAGGGGTGGGTTAGATACCTTCCACGCGGGGTAGAGGGCTTGCAAGCCTCTCCCCCCCCCCCCCCCCGACCCCCCCCCCCCCGGAGAGAAGAGTCCCGCGCTGTGGGGGACGGGCAGGAAGTGGCAAAGCTAGAGAAGGGATCGCGAAGTGCTTTGGCCGCAGAGCGATAGGGAAGCATACGTGTCCTTAACCGGGCAGGTGGGTTCTGTGGTGTTCACAATCGGCGGCACAAAGAGCTTCCGTGCTCAACCTGGGAGGGGATCGCAGGACTGTCTTCCTAACAGTGCTTGAGAACTGTATGCCTCACTTTTAGTGCAGATGTTTGAAATGTTTAAAGGTGCGTTTCCTCAATAGGAAGCCCCGTTGATTTTAAGTAGGTTGAAGTATGGTGCGGATTGCAGCCTTGAACTAGTCTGTCATATTTTTAGCCTATGCTAGGATTACCATATTTTGAAAAGCAAAAAAGGATATATTTTTCTAACTGGCTACTTCTAACAAGTGATCACTGTGATAAATCTCATTTTAAATACCCCTATTATTTAAGCTGTGGTCATTGCTGCTAACTAGGAATACTCCTAACCTCCCAATCCCAAAAGAGGACAGTTTTTTTAAAAAGCCCAAAAGAGGATGGACACCAAAAAAAGAGGACATCTGGTAACTCTAGCCTGTGCTTATTTACTGAAGAGTTAGTCCTGTTGAATTCAGCAAGGCTTTCATGTAAGTGTATATGGGATTGTTTTAAATGGTTCTTTCTGCTTTTGATTTTGCTAGGTTTAAGCCAATTTAAATTGGTTAGGGGTTACTGGGTATTTTGAAATAAGTTTGTGAATTCTACTATCTTACATTACTTACCATCATGTAAGTACTTCTTTGGTAGAGAACTGTTAAATAGTGGGTTCAAAGCATAGAGGACCGGACTAAGATATGCTGAACAGGTCACGTTTGTTGCATAACACACACAAGACACAAACTGGCTAGCAACAGCCAACTATAAACACCCACCCCAGACGCACCCCTAGTCTCATTGCAGGGTTTGACTCTCCCGCCAAAGTTCCTATAGGTGGACTTTATAAAGGTGGCCCAGGATCCTTGGCCCCTATTGCTAGTGGATCCAAGCTAGGGTCTATGCACGCAGACCCCAAGTGGCGGTCCGCAGACACAAGAACAATAGAGGTTATTAATGACATAATCTAAGCATGATAGCAGAATTCTGATTATTGTGAATCGCTTCATGTTAGAGCAACCATGTGAAGACAACCATGTGACAAACTGCTCACCATTATGATTTGACTTCCTCAGTGCCAGCTCTGCACCATACTATTTGTGGCATGTATACAGTGTGATAGGGCTGCCATGAAGAAACATTTCTTGGTGGTCAGCAAGTGACTTCTGCAATATATAAAAAGGCTCTTTGGGGGGGGACTAGAGAATGTAATGCAGGTGAGGTCGTCCTAACTGAAAAGAGGCAATTAAACAATTAAACAAAGTTCCAGTTGCAGGTTTGCATCTAAAGCTGGTTGACTGTAAATGCCATGGAAGTCATGTAACCTTACTATATCTCTGTCCTCAGCAGTTATGAAGACATTGCATGACATGGCTGTGAGTAGGTCCAAGCACTAGCAGCATGGTGTAGGATCTAGGAGTCGCCTTCATTCCCTGTCCTCTTCCTTCATCCCTGTTACTGCTATATCATATTCTGCCTATCAAAGTCTCTTAAGAGTTCTCAAGTTTTAAAAAGAAGACTACTCAAAGTTGTGATTAAGTTATTTCTGATCTTTTGTATCTACTTTTGATGAATTTCTCTTTCCACAGGACTACAAAGGCCAAAAGTTAGCAGAACAGATTTTCCAAGGAATCATCCTTGTGTCTGCTGTAAGTATGAAAAAGAAAAATCCTGTGTACATATATGTACATGGTTAAAAGAAAAATCCAGCATATTGTCAGGCCAAGTTAATCTTTGATTGAAAGCACAGAAGTCCTGGATGTTATTAGTGAACCTAAAACTATGTTTTGTATAATTTTATATTTTCTGTTGATAGGTGATATTTATGTAGCTCAATTCAGTTGTTCCTTTATTTTGATTTATTTTTATTATGGCGTTCTAGCTAGCTGCCTCATAGATGTTTTATATTGCAATATGCAGTGAACTCTTAAGAATAAAAGTCCAACTGTATAACTTTGCTGTCTTTTTCCAACACAAATATTATAGAAGTCAGTAGCTATTTTGCTGCTGGTTTTATACAAATTCTCAGTCATGTTGGGATTCCCTTTGACTTATTTTAGTTGTTTCTTGTAGGTAATCGGTTTCATTTATGGATACATCACTGAACAGTTTGGCTGGACAGTTTACATAGTAATGGCTGGATTTGCTTTGTCATGCCTGGTAAGACTGTGACCTTATTATAGTAGAGAAAATTATAAAAAATACCTGAGTTATTAGAAGTCCGAAGGATACTCTGGTAGGACACAGCTGCAACGTATACATGCACCATGCAAGGTGACCATAAGATAATTCAGTCGGACTCATCAGTGATTCTGAAACTCTATGAAGTGTCATCCACTTCTAAAAAAGTGTTTTCCAGGACCAGCTTGCAAAGTAATTTTGTACTACCTTGCCAACATATCACAGGAATCTTATATCAGTGACTGTATTTCTTGGCTATTTTGCGTATTTTGCTGAGGCAAACACAAATTTGCCAATGAGCCTCTTCTCCTAGCTCACCTGGCTCCACAGTCTACCTGCAAGAGGGGTTTGATCCACTTCTTTGTGCCCTTAATTCTCACTTTGACATATAGAACTGCTCTGAAAAGCTTTTTACTTTTAAGATGTACTTCCTGTTTAACCTTTCCTATACATTTCTGAAATTTAATCAAAAAGACAAGGTTTTCATAAAAAAAACACCTTGATAACAGGGAACAGGACTGATCTGGATTTACTTAACAATGTTGTCTTCTGCAGCTAACACTCCCTCCGTGGCCCATATACCGTCGCAACCCTCTGAAGTGGTTACCTGTCCAGGAACCCGCAACAGATGATAAGAAGCCAGCAGACAGAAAAGTAAAAAGGCACTCTAAAAACTGAAGCTGTCCTGTATAATTTTTGGCCATTAAATTTGTTTTGATGTGAATTACTTGCTTTGCACTCCTCTGATTTATTTAAATATTTGACTGCATTTTAAATTTGGTTGTGCATACATGGTTTGAGAGTGACACTTCATCAGTGCTGTGCTAAGTAGCTGGAAAAGTAACAGTTGACTAGACTCAGGCTCAAACAGTCATTTGAGGTGTTTTAATGTGCACTGTCCCCATAAAAAGGTCTCTAAAATTATCATGTTAGGTAACAGATTTGAAGTGTTCAACTTTTTCATCCTATCAAGTTCTGGGAGCAATTTTAGGCTTTAATTTACTCTTGTAAGAATGAAATATAGTCACCACATGTCGTTGTCTGTACTTCTTTTGAGGTGACAATCTGCCAGTACCAGGTACAAGTCATGTACCAGGTACAAGTTACCCAAAGGTTTGTTTTCTGCTTTACCTTATCTTTCATGACTTAATTTGATTTTCTGCTTCTGTTCTATCTCTGGTGAGAGTTACTTCAGTAATGAATGCTACTACACTTGAAGCTTTATTCTTCAGTCTTGATGTGTGGTAAAAAGCAATCCGTGTAATGGGCTTTATTCTGTCATTTTTGTTTTCCTAAGAGAAGGTATTTTGAAGATTTTACTTTCAAAATTAAAAACAGCATTAAGGACAGATTAAAAAGAGGAGAATTCTCTATATTTGAAGTATCTGGGAATAATGCATGCTACTGGATTAGTAGTATTTTATACATATGCTGCTTTGGTCTGGATTATACCATATATTCCTTAAGTGCAACATTTTATCTAGCTGTAGCCAGCCTGATGTCCTGGGGGGAAAATCACAAGCCAGCATGATGGCAGTAGCTGCCCCTGCTGTTACTCCTGCATGCTGTGTGCTGCTTTTCAGCATGAATATTCTACAACCAATTGTTTTAAAATGTTAAGAAAAGAGGCATAATTTTTCAAGGAAAATGTTTCAGGCTATTATAGCTTCTGAAATTGTATTGAAATGCCACTTGTTTTGAATATTTGTTTTGAATATCCGTGAACTTAAAAAAGTCATCTTGCATTTTTTTTCTTCATCCTTTAAGCACTTGTACCAATGAAGACTAGATGTAAAAGAGAGAAGTCTATCTTAAATGTCTAGATTCTGTAAAAGTTTTGTTATGCTTCATCCCTTTTAATGTAAACAATTCTCTTCAGAATCTTCTTTTCATTTCCACAGGATGACTTGTACTGTAGTTACAGCAAGTGTCTGTAGTTCTCACTCTGTGGCTCATGAAGAGCCCCACTCTCAGAATTAACCATTAATTCAAAGAACCATGTTTACTTCCATCCCTGGCATGATGCTTGCACTGCAGGGAGGCTTACAGCTTATCCCTTCTTCAGCTATTTCAAAGAGGGAGTCACTCGTAAAGGACAATCCCAGTGGCTTTGCCCACTTTCCCAAACCATGGGGCAGGGGCCACAAAGGTGAACAGTGCTCAAAATATCCACAGGTGTTTCCTGTGTCACTACCCTGCAGACTGGATCCAGTGGAAGCTTTTGCTGATGGGGTGGAGTTGTGTGTGATTTTCAGTGACTTCTGAAAAGCAACAGAAGAAATTTAGAGTCCAGTGGCACCTTTAAGACAACAAAGGTTCTGAAAAGCAAGTAGTATAAACTAATTAATAGAATATAAATCAGTTTCACAAGTTCTTCTTAACCTTCAGTTCATGGTAACCAATAGTAGTCACTAAGCGTTTTCAAGTCAACATGAAACCGAAGTGTCCTATATGCCATTTTCATGCCAGAATGTGCTCTTAACCAGAACTGCAGTCCTAGGGGCTTAAATCCCATCACTCACTGCTACCCCCTAACAGTCACAGCAGGAACCTACAGGAATTCCACTGGGCGCAATGTAAGGGAAAGGTACAGTGTGAGAGGAGATTGGTAGGAGTTCTTCTACTTGACAGTAAGAAGTGGTTTTTTGTGTAATTGAAGGAAAATATTGGTAAATCATTCTTTATCAACAAATGCAAGTTAGCTTTTATAACAATGACTAGAGTGGATGAAAAATATATCAAGTAATTGGTGTTGGACTTTATGCCTAAAAAATGTGAAGACTCAATGTTTTTTATTTACAAAAAGTTACTTTATTACTTCAAAAAACATTCAGACAAAAGATAATACATTCCAGGCTAGGGGACATGGTCCCACAGATTAGGTGATATAATTTATATTATTTAAAACCAATTTATTTCAAATATGCAAATTTCTGGCTGACAAGACCCTGAATCAGACAGCACATTTTGAGAAATCATTCCATCAGCTTTACACTATAATGGTTTAGTCTTTACGTTTTATAAAATCTAAAGACCTTGTATATTTCTACATCATCCAAACTTGGTATAATAAACTATAAAACCAGAGATGAAGTAGCAAACAATGTACATACATTAGAGTGTTTTATACTCTTTTGTAGTCAAGTTTTTGGCCCAAAGAAACAAATTCTAATTCATGGTAACAGCACTAGAACTGTCAGGTATCTTGGGAAAAGGCATTCATTATAGTTGGTATACTTTTGATTGCACAAAAAGTCTTGCAAATACAAAAGTTTATGTAGTTGTTACAAAATGAGTTTTAAAATGGTCAACTATAAAAACTAGCTTTTCCCTACCTACAGATTGCTCATTTGTAATCTAGAATGCAACAGAACAGGATTTAAATGCTGAGTTATTTCTCACTCATCCCTCATTTCCCTCATCATAACTTTTATACGAAAAATGGAGTATTCTGAGGCAACCTTGTGCTCTGGTTACAATCCTGTACTCTTACATGCAACTGCCATGTGCAGTGACAGAAAACTGAGCTTTTAAGCGTGCCAAACATTTCTTGCACTAGGTTTTAAACATACATTGTTATTTATAATAAGCTAATTTGGTCAGAACTTAGTTCGACAACTGATAAAGAAAATCAGACAACTTAGTCTATATAGAAAAATAAAAATCTGAACCTCAAAGAATTGTTGACTAGAGTTTTGTTGTTTCCTTCAAGCAGAAGTGGTTCAATGGTGGTATCTGTCAGAGTTTTACGTTGTCTTCTAAGAACTTTAAGTGACGAGCCTTCATGCTGTAAGAGGTGTACTTTTCTCCCATCAGCTCCCGCAAATACAACTGTTTAGAAATTGTCTTTAAAAATCAGGTACTTTTACTTTCCAAATGTGAATGCTACTAGTGAAATATCTAGGGTACAATTTAGGAGGATAAGGCACACCTATGCTCACTGGTTTCATAGAGTTTAGACAGGCTTAAATATTGAATTCAGCTGGGTTCAGCACACCACAGTTAACTTTGTGAAAAGTTGCATTAATGTAAAAGGGACAGTAGTCAGTGAATGCATGACACTGAAATTACTGGCAACAATCCAGCAGAATTAAGTGCATTTAAACCCATTTATTTTGAGGGGCTTAAATGCAAATTTAACTGTTGGAGTGCATCATCTGATTTGAAGCACAAGCACTTATTCAAGGTACAAAACCACAAAACGCAATGCAGAATTCATCTGTGCCACCGCTCCCTCCTTCAAAGAAAGCTAACTGCACTTCAAATTACTGAGACTAAATTTATTTTCCGCTAACATCCTATTGATTTCAGTGGAATTTGAGTGTAACCAGTTTTTTCTGAACTAAAGCAGCATGTTCAAAAAATTCCCTTGTTCATACCTTTTTTCATAGTAAATAAAATGATTTGGAAAAAAATAGTAAAATTAATTTACATAACTAGCTGCTTTGAAAGCTAACCAACCACAATACTAGATATAAAGTTGCTTTTCTTTCTGATATCTGTCTACATTTGAAAATTGTAGAAAAGAAGTTCAAGTCTGAGGAGCAACAACTCACCTCTCTCTTCTGTTCCTCCTCCTCCTCCATAACATCATACACCTTTTCCAGAAGTTTCATTCCAAGTCCTTGCACTACGTCTGCCCTTAAGATTTCAACTAGTCTCCTGATCTTCTCAGGCCCAGACAGAATATCTAAAAGAGTAAACACTATCAATGTTTTCAGCTATTTTGAGCTCTGGCAGATGAGCAAAAGCTGAATTGTGATTCTGGCATAACAGTTTTCCTTTCTGATTCAGCCTTCTTTTTCAGTTCATATCACCAGCTGTCCCAGATTACTAATCATGGGTTTTGTTTATACTGGTTGGGAAGTCTGATGTTCCAGAGGGGCTGAAGACACTTGTTCTAGATCAGGGGTGGCCAAACCGTGGCATGGGAGCCACATGTGGCTCTTTCACATATATTGTGTGGCTCCCGGCAGGGCAGCTGGGGAAGTGAAGGGGAGGCATGCCCTCCCCGAACAGTCTTCCCTTCCCTAGTCAGTGCTTCCCTCCCTGGGTAGAATTGAGGTAGGGGGAAGCAGGAAAATAAAGCAACTTTAAATGTGTTCTCAAAGCACAGCCGGCTTGGCAAAAGCATTCAAATATCATTAACAATGTCTATTTTTACCCCTTTTGTTTTTATTTCTGGCAGACTTATTTGATGTTAATAAAAAGCAAATTTGCATATTTTCCAATAAAAATGTGTAATATTTGTTCATGTATTGTGGCTCTCAGACGTCTGATGTTTCTTCTATGTGGTTCTTACGTTAAGCAAGTTTGGCCACCCCTGTTCTAGATGGAGTGACACTGGCTTTTTCAAAGCAGGTTAAGAGCTTGAGGGTGCTCATGGACCCTCCTTTGCTGTTTGAAAAGCAGGTTGGAATGGAGGCCAGAAGCACATATCAGCTGCATCTGATTTGCCAGCCCATAACCTAGACTCAGTAGGTCTAGCCATGTTGATCCATGCTTCTGTAACCTCACAGTTGGATAAGAACAAAAGAACATAAGAGAAGCCAATGTTGAATCAGGCCAATGGCCCATCTAGTCCAACACTCTGTCAAACAGTGGCCAAAAATACCAGGTGCCATCAGGAGGTCCACCAGTGGGACCAGGACACTAGAAGACCTTCCACTGTGGCCCCCCCAAGCACTGAGAATACAGTGCATCACTTGCCCCAGACCGAGAGTTCCTATCTATACCTTGTGGCTAATAGCCACGGAAGGAATTCTGTTCCATATGCTTATCTAATTCCCTCTTGAAGCTGTTCATGCTTGTAGCCGCCGCCACCACCTCCTGTAGCAGTGAATTCCATGTGTTAATCACTCTTACTGCAACACACTGCAATGGGGCTGCAGCTCAAAGACAACCCAGAAGCTACAACTGGTCTACAATGCAGCAGCCTGACTATTGCCAGGGGCTAACCACTGGGATCATAAGTTGGCCATTTTGAAACAGCTACATTGGCTGTCAGTCTGTTTCCGAGTTTAATTCAAGGTGCTACTTAGGACCTTTAAAGCCCTTCACAACCTGGGACCCACATATTTGAAGGACAGTCTCCTTCCATATGTCCCTGTGCACCAACTATGCTCGTCAGGCAGCCATCTTTGGCTATCCCACCACGCAGGGTAGCTTGTCTGGCACTGTTTGCCAGGGCTTTTGAGGGAGTTTGAATTGGCAGGCGTCTTTGGAGGAGGGGAGAATAGGGGTTTGTAATTTATTTTTGGTTTTAAACTGAATGTTTTTAAGTATTATTGTAAGCCACCTTGAATCACAAGGAAAGGCAGGATATAAATGTTTTGAGCAATCTTAATCCAGCAGGCATGAGGCTGGGGTATTGTCATGTTGGGAGGGGCAGTATTTTTAAAAATAGGGGAAATGAGCACTCCCGTGGTGTTGAGATAGAGCACAACTTAAAAAACCAACACTGTCATGCATGTTTCTGCACTTGAGTGGCACAGCAAGAAAGCTGTGCCACTATTTTCCAGCATGCTACATACCTGAAGAAACCTCCTGAAACTGGAATTCATCTGGTTCTTCTGATACTTTCCCATGTAAGAGAAGGGTGTCTCTGTATTTTCTATTAAGCCTGAACTGTGATTCGGGAGCTGGTACTGCAGACTGTTCACGATTTTCTTTATTATCCATATTCAGTGTTCGAGTCATCAACTGTACCAAATCATTCATCTCGTTTGTTTTTCTGCAAAGAAATTAATAAAAGCCTGTATAATTAAATTCTAACTTTTAGTTAATGTTTTACAAAAGTGTAAATGAAACAGTTATTTACAACCAGGGAGGATTGTGAGGCACTCCAAAGGGATCTGTCCAGGATGGGCAACTGGGCGTCAACGTGGCAAATGGGGTTCAGTGTGGCCAAATGCAAAGTGATGCACATTGGAGCAAAAAATCCTAACTATAAATACACGTTGATGGGGTCTGAACTGGCAGAGACTGACCAAGAGAGAGATCTTGGAGTCGTAGTAGATAACTCACTGAAAATGTCGAGACAGTGTGTGACTGCAATAAAAAAGGCCGACACTATGCTGGGGATTATTAGGAAGGGAATTGAAAACAAATCAGCCAGTATCATAACGCCCCTGTATAAATCGATGGTACGTCCTCATTTGGAGTACTGTGTACAGTTCTGGTCACCACACTTCAAAAAGGATATTATAGCATTGGAAAAAGTGCAGAAAAGGGCAACTAGAATGATAAAAGGGTTGGAACACTTTCTCTATGAAGAAAGGTTAAAATGCGTGGGGCTCTTTAGCTTGGAGAAACGACGGCTGAGGGATGACACGATTGAGGTTCATAAGATTATGCATGGGATAGAGCAGGTCGAGGAAAGTACTTTTCTCCTTTTCTCACAATACAAGAACTTGTGGGCACTCCATGAAATTGCTGAGCAGTCAGGTTAGAACAGATAAAAGGAAGTACTTCTTCACCCAAAGAGTGATTAACACACGGAATTCACTGCCACAGGAGGTGGTGGCGGCTACAGGCATGGACAGCTTCAAGAGGGAACTGGATAAACATATGGAGCAGAGGTCCATCAGTGGTTATTAGCCACAAGGTATAGATAGAAACTCACAGGCTGGGGCAGGTGATGCACTGTATTCTTGGTGCTTGGGGGGGGGGCAACAGTGGGAGGGCTTCTAGTGTCCTGACCCCACTGATGGACCTCCTGATGGCACCTGGTATTTCTGGCCACTGTGTGACAGAGTGTTGGACTAGATGGGCTATTGGCCTGATCCAACATTGGCTTCTCTTATGTAGGCAGGGCTGTATGTTTTCAATATATTTAGGTATCTTCAGCATATGCAAAACATCTGGAAGGTAGGAGGTTTGACCAAAGCCCAGCAAAAGGGCGCGGGGGGGGGGGCAGAGGTGTGATACCATCTATTATGGAGTGAAAAGAGCAGCTGCTTCCTGCAATGGTGCCAGACGTACACCCAGAGTACACCTCCTTACTCGCTAAACAATAACAAATAGTTCCTGTTTTCTTCTGTCAATCTCTAAATTTTTAATAAATACTGTATTACAAAAAGTACTGCATATGTAACACATAAAGAAGCTATTTTGTAAAGACAGTGCATGTATGTCTCAACTTGAAGGAGACTAATTGGTAGTCTGACCGAGCCAACAACATTTATATAATTTGAATGTCACATAAATTACCTCAGCAATAGTTTCAAACAACTAAATAGAAGCCAGTATTATAATATTTGTGTTACTATGAGAATAGCAGCTAACAGACTGCCATCATTTTTGGTAGTATGTGGTTAGCAGTTTCAGTAACGGCAGTTGAAATATGTTGGCACTTTTTAAAATGTCCACTTCTACAAATGAAACCCCAAAATTCAACAACAAAAGTCCTTTTGTGAAGTGGCTATTTGATATACAAGTTACATCTTGCTGCTCTTAACAGTAGCTGAATTGTATTTTACCAGTGGATTGGTCACTTGGCACCAGTAAGGACATGAGAACATAAGAAGAGCCCTGCTGGATCAGACCAGTGGTCCATCTAGTCCAGCATCCTCTCTCACACAGTGGCCAGCCAGTTCCCCTGGAGGGCCAACAACAGGGCATGGAGTCCCAGACCTTTCCCTGATGCTACCTCCTGGCTCTGGGATTCAGAGGCCTCTGAATGTGGAGGTTCCCCTCAGTCACCGTGGCTACGAGCCACTGACAGACCTATCCTCCATTAATCTATCTAATCCCCTTTTGAATTTGTTTATTCTTGTGGCCCTCACTACATCCTCTGGTAGTGAATTCCACATTTTAATCACTCACTGTGTAAAGAATTATTTCCTTTTGTCCTTCCTGAATCTACTACTCATCAGTTTTATTTGATGCCCTCGAGTTCTAGTGTTTTGGGGGAGAAAAAGTTTTCTGTGTCAACTCTCTCTACCCCATGTATCTCTCCTTATATGTAAAAGACTTTTCATATCCCAATTTCCTCAACTTTCCAAACGCTCCCACAGCCTTTCGCCCGCTCGGCTGCCCGTCTTGCGGACTCCCAATCCCCTGGCTGCATTGCCTCGGCCCTGCCCACAGAGCTGGCAGCCAGTGTATCACTCTCAGTCTGAAGGGAGCCAGTGAAAGGGATGGACGCTCTGCAGAGGGAGCAGCAAGCCCTCTACAGGGGAGGAGGAGGCAGACCTAGCAAGTGGCAGCAAGCAGAGGAAGCACTCACCTTCACTGCCCCTTGCAGCCCCTCTCCCTCGGCCACAAGGCCGGCGCTCTGTCAAGGCTATAGCTCAGTGGGATGCACCACAGAGAAGGCTGCCCAGCACCTTTCAAAGGCTCCCTCGCCTTCCTTCAGCAGCGGCGGCAGCGCCAGGGAGAGTCTGGCCTGGAGGAAACGAGCTGTGGCTCTCCTGTGGAAGACACTTCTCTTGGCCCCTGTGTGGGACTAACTGTGACTAACTGTCCCCTCAGTGGCTGTTGGCAGGCAACCAAGTTTGCTTCTGTAGTAAAAAAATAAAGGACTTTCAGCACAACCCCCTCCCCCACCCACTTTCCTGTCAGAATAAACTTAACACGGCTCTCTCTCTCCTTTTTGGCTCCACCATGGCTGGCTGGCTGGCTGGCTAATGAGGTGGGCCAGCGACCATCAAACCATTCTCTTCAACCCCCTGCTGTGTGGCTGACTTTCCCCTAGGGTTGCCAATCTCCAGGTGTGACCTGGAAATCTCCCGCTGTTACAATTGATCTCCAGATGACAGAGATCAGTTCCCCTGGAGAAAATGGCTGCTTTGGAGGGTAGACCCTATGGCATTATCCCCTGCTGAGTCCTTCCAGCCCCCCCCCCCCAACCTATTTTGGCCTTTGGGAGAAAACTCATTGGGGCCGTCCTGATAGGGTTGCCAACTCTAGGTGGGAAATTCCTGGAGATATGAGGGATGGAGCCTGGAGAAGGTGAGGTTTGAGGAGGGGTGGGACCTCAGACAGGTACAATGCCATTGACTCCACCCTCCAAGTGAGCCATTCCCTCATGGGGAACCATTGTTGCCAATCTCCAGGTGGGGGCTGGAGATCACTCAGAATTACAACTGCTCTCTAGGAGGAAGGGGGAGGAGATAGAAAGCTGAAGCCAGGGGGCAGATAACGGTAGGTTGACGGCTGGCTGGGAGGGAGATATGGTTGCCAACTCCAGGTTGGGAAATTCCTGGAGATTTGAGGGGTGCAGCCTGGAGAGGGTGAGGTTTGAGGAGGGGTGGGACCTCAGACAGGTACAATGCCACTGACTCCACTCTCCAAGCCAGCCATTCTCTCGTGGGGAACCATTGCTGCCAATCTCCAGGTGGGGTCTGGAGATTACTCAGAATTACAGCTGCTCTTCAGATGGCAAAGATCAGTTCCCCTGGAGAAAATGGTGGACTCTGTGTCATTATATCCTGCTGAGGTCGCCACAGCAAACTGACGCTGAGTGCCCAAGGTTGGGGCACTCTCCCAGAGCCTCTTTCTAGAGCTCGTTGTATTTATTTTCACAACGGGCCTTATTCCTAGTACTTTTATAAATCTCTTTCATGTCTCTCCTTAGTCATCTCTTTTTCTAAACTGAAAAGTCCCAGACCCTTCAGCCTTCCCTTATAGGAAAGGTGCTCCAGTCCCATAATTATCTTGTTTGCCCCCCTCTGTACTTTTTCCAGGTCTATGATGTCCAGCTCTTGAGATACACTGACCAGAAATGTACACAGTATTCCAAATGAGGCCGTACCATATAATACACAGGGGTATTATAATATCAGCTGTTTTATTTTCAGTCAGTTTTCTAATCATCCCTTACATAGAGTTTGCCTTATTCACCACTGCAGCACACTGCAGTGACACATTCATGGAGCTGTTCACTATGTCCCCAAGATCTTTTTCACTTTTAGTCTCAGCAAGTTCAGACTCCATTAATCTACACTTGAAGCTGGGATTTTTTTGTCCCAATGTGTATCACCTTACACTTACCAACACTGAACTTCATTTGCCACATTGTCGCCCACTCACCCAGTTTGTGAAAGTTCATCATAGAACAGTGAAGCAAGAATTATATGTAAATGCATAGCCTTAGGAGGAGCTGTACTATCCAACAAAAGAGATGTACATGAAACTCCAGAAAAAAAACTTTTATATGTGTGATGTTCCCTGAAACTGGATTTTATTATAGCATGGACTAGGGCATGTTGATACCACAGCCCAAATCTGAATATGTTATGCAGATGCACTAATATGCTGAATGACCACAGACAAAACAGAAATCACTCACCCTTCTTTGCAGTCTCCATCTGATTTTTCAGTGGAACTGGAAGAAGTGCTCAGCTCATCCTCGCAAAAGCAACCACTTAAGCTCTTCTTCTGTCAAAGAAAGAAATAGCTGATTAACACAGGACGATCAGTGAAAAAATCTGTTACCCGAACCGGTCCAAATATGGTTCTGGGAGCCCAGGACAACTCTGCTTACAGAGGGTGGGCGGTGCGTGAGTTCTTAACCCATGTATCCAGAGGTCGGATTGGCCAATGAGACGCTCGCTATTTTCAGGAAGTCAGACAACACACTAGGTTTATGAATAAATGTTGCCTTTTTACTAAAGCAGTTTCTTCAGACATACAAAAACAGATGCATACAAGATTCACACAAGCTCCTTAGTTACAATAGCATATGGAAACAATTAAAGCATGGAAAATAACAAAAGCATCAAATAAGGGGAATGACTTCACAAGTAGGCGGTTAATACTTATCTGAGGTCCGCTGAGAAGCAATCTCCTCTTAAGAAAGAAGGGCACCTAACGTGTCAACTGGTGAACTCTGAACACACAAAGGCTGGTCCAGCCAAGCCACATGCGCGTTCCCTGGTCGCGACTCTGGGGAACTTCGAGAGTCACCTGAAGCACCTTAGTGCTCTAAGGGGAAGAAGCAGAAGCTGGGAGAGAGAGAGAGAGAGCGAAACAAAGCCGCGTTTCCCTTTTTACCAGCTCTGTTCTGGGCATGGTCTTACCTGTCATAAATCCTGGGAATCGTCCTCTATTCTAAAGCTATAGGTCCACTACGGGGTGACGTCCCAATGAGGGGCAGTGGGCAATATGAGGATATTCTATCCCTACATCAAAGCGGGGGCCATGTGGTGATGTGTGAACCTCCGTTTCCCTTGGCAACCTTTGGAGTAGAGATGAGCCTGGTCCTCAGAGCAATAAACAGTATTGTCTTTTGATGCCCAAACCAGATAGCAGAGAGGGAGTTGGTGCTTTCCCACAATCCATCAAGGGTGTTTGTGCCTGTTGCTCCTCCAAGTGTCTCCTTGTGCATACCGAAGGTGACCTTCTCTGGTCAGAGGCACATTGGAAAATTCCATGGCAGGGTTTCTTTGTGGCAGGCATCTCAGCTATGTCCATCCGTGGGTAGCATGAGGTGCAAGGCCCGCCATTCAAACACATAGCAGCAAACACACATAACAGTGAACCCTGAGTTCCCAAAGGCACAGATACATAGACATTTGATCAATACTTCATGAGCACAATACAGACAAAATGCAAATACAAGTCCACATGGTAACAACACACAGAGGACACCATCCACTGAGAACATCTGCTGTGTGTACCCCACTGAAATGAATGTGTACCCCTTTTGCATCTCTACCATCGCATGTAAAAAACAACTGAAGAGAATGGGGCACAATTTCAGTTGCTAATCAGAAAATAATGATGCAGAAAAGCTATACTGTTTGCAGATTTAAAGTATTTAGAATACGAAAGCGCAACAGATTCAGAAATGCAGCAAAAGCAACAAGCACTGAAATACTTAGGAAGCTGACACGTACATACCAGACACAAGTACAATAAAAACCTATGAAACTACATGCATTGTGATTGGATCCAATTACATTTATTCATAGGATTAGTAGACACACCATATAATTTTGACTTTGATCTTTTTTTAAGTTTAGGAAAGAAGTTACATTTATGCGGTGATAGCATTTTTATTTATTTAGCGCATTTTTATGCTGCCTCTCTAGGCAACCAGCCCAGGATGGCTTACAAAATAAAACAGTCTAACGTGCAGAAGAGTTTGGTACCAACTACCCCTCCTGCATTTGCTAGGTACCAAATTTGAGAATCCCAGAAGCACTGCAATTTGGATAAGCTCAAGACACCAGTGTACAGCCAACTTGCTACTAGAGTTTAAGTTGTTGATTTTTAAAATCCCCATTATCAAAGAGAGTTACAAAAAGAAAACATTTTAAAAATCGTAACACAATGGCTGGCCCACCTAAACCAACTAGTTGCGGTTGCAGTTTGTTGGCCATATTCAGAGATACCCCCCCATACATCATGTCGCAGTGGTCTAAACAGAAGGGGAGAACAGCAAGAGGACAATGGTGCCCAGACCCCCTCCTTTTATACTTTGGAACATTAAAACCATCTGAACGGCTTGCTTTCAGTTATTTCTAAGAACACATGACTTCTGCTTACCTTGCAAATGCTAGGCTCTGAAGACGACTGAGCAATTTGATGAACACTCTCTTCCTCTAGTGATTTCATTTCTGTTACTTCACTATGAGACGCTCGTCTTGCAGCAGGCCCTGATAGGAGGACAGATTGAAAGCATTTGTTAGTTTACCTTTATTTTGATAGTGTGCACTGATTCTGAAAGCAAAATCAATGTATTTGAAAAAGCTTGACAAAGTACAAACATGCTCATTTCGGTCTGTTTATGAAATTTTATCTAGGTATCATGTTGGTATCATTCCATACAGCCCATTTCCGAGGTTTTCGAAGTCGTTGCCATTTAATAATTAAGAATTAAACAGCTATATACATTTACTTATGCATTTGATGGTGGCTCTAGTCTGTGGCAGTTTGCCACAATTAGACAGCAATCCTAAGCAAGTCTACTCAGAATCTTACTAAAATTAGTGGAGCTTAATGCCCTAAAAGTGCCTGTAGGATTGTATTGTACATCTGTATGTATTTAAGGTGCCACGACACTCTTTTTGTTTTGTTACAACAGACTAACAGGACCACCTCTGTCACTTATACTAGGAACCAGATGTAAATTTGGTCTGTGATTTCCATTCCGAATTTCCCTGAATTCCACCATGCAAAACACTTTGCCTTAAAGCATAATTTGCTAACCAATTCTGAACACTTGAAAGATTCTTAGCTGCTAGGTGCAGCTCCTACAATAACATGCTGCAAGTCAATTGCAAGCTACACTTGTGTCTGAAGACTAAGCATTTAGAGAAGAGTTGTGTGTCCGTGCCATACCCCTGAAAACAATGCAGGATATTTTCTTTGGGAACAACTGGAGAGCTCACTGAAAGTCTGCATGTAGGGTTGTTAAGATTTATTTATTTTATTTTTAAAGAGGGAGGGAAATGAACATTACCTGAAGGAACCATGTCTTCTTGAGACTGCTTTAGCCTCCTCCTCTCCCGTGCTGACAGTGGCCGATCCTTTAGAACAAGTAAAGGTAATATCAGTAACAAACGAAACCCCCTTTGTGTTCTGTCATATTTGATGAGAAGGCACTCTTTTCACTGAAACACTGGCATGTATCCTACCATGGCACCAGTGTTCCCTCTAAGCTGAGTTAGTGTGAGCTAGCTCACACTAACTCAGCTTAGAGGGAACTTTGCATGGCACTAAGCAAAAATTGAAGTTTTCCTGCAACTTCCTCCAACAGGACAGCCACTTAAGTTGGAGGAAGGCACCTTTGGCAAAGGATCATCCCTCAGGCTAAGGCAGGATACATGTCGTTATCATAATGGAAAGCAAACATTTCCTGGTTGTTAACAACTCATTACCCTTTTCTATGGCACCTTAATTCTACAAAGTTAATAAAGCCCTACACTGGAAGAATTGCCACCATGCTGTAAAATGTTTCAGAGCCTCATACTAGAAGAAGAGGAGACTAGATTTATACCCCACCCTTCACTACTCAAAGGAGTGGCTTACAATCTCCTTTCCTTTCCCCTCCCCACAACAGACACCCTGAGAGGTAGGTGGGGCTGAGAGAGCTCTTTCGAGGACTGCTCTTGAGAGAACAGCTCTGAAAGAACTTATGACTGACCCAAGGTCACAGCAGCAGCTGCATGTGGAGGAGTGAATAATCAAACCCAGTTCTCTCAGATCAGAGTCCACATTCCTAACCACTACATCAAACTGGCTCTCTACTAAGCTGATCTAAAGAGCTTGGTGGCATGGTAGATCACAGGCTCTTTTTTAACCTACATCACACAATGAGGGATTAAAATGTGGAATTCGCTTCCAGAGGATGGCCACAGGTATAGACAGCTTTAAAAGGGGATTAAACAGATTCATGGAGGATAGGTCTATCAATGGTCTATCAGCCATATTGACTAAAGGGAACCTCCACATTCAGAAGCAGTCAACGTCTGATTACCAATGCCAGGAGGCAACATCAAGTGAAGGCCTCGGCCTCTATGCTCTGTTGTTGATCCTCCAGAGGAACTGGTTGGCCACTGTGTGAGACAGGATGCTGGACTATATGGCCCACTGGTCTGATCCAGCAGGGCTCTTATGTTGTAGCAGAGTTCAAAGAAACTGACAAAAAATAATAAAAGATACATAAAGGCCTATAACCAACCTTAGAAGATGCTACCTCAGTGCTGCTTGATCTGCTTAAAGACTTTGTAATTGCAGCACTCTGCTTGCCTGTGCAATCTTCTCTTGTCTTTGTATTCACATCAGGAAGAGAAGGCAGTGGCTGAGGAACATGTGCTGTAGCCTAAAAGGCAAAAACTAACCTGTATAAAAATATTCTTCTGCAAAGAAGCTAGTATTAGTCATTCAGTTCTAGACTCATACTCCCAAATCTAAAGATAACATGGATTATCATGTAAAGCATTCAATCCCATCTTTCACACAAAAGACATTAATTCCGTACATTACAGAGAATACAATAATATTTCCAAAAGATCCAAATGCTTATATATATCAGTATAGCCATATTGTTACTCAGTTTCTCAATCAACACCTATACAAGAATTCAAACATCTAAAAGAATCAATTCAAGGACTTTGGTTTATTTTAAATGCAGTGCAGAGACCTCAACTCGTATACCCTGTCAGAGCCAGTGTGACGTAGCGTTTAAATGCAGCATACTAGGATCTGGAAGACTTGGGTTTTAATCCTCATTCTTCCTTGGAAGCTTGCTTGTTGACCTGGAGCCACTCACACTCTCAACCTAACCTGCCTCACCGGGTTGTTGTGAAAATAAAAGAGAAAAGAACAGTCTTGTAATGCAATCTGAGTCCCCGTAGGGGAGAATGGCAGGCTGTGAACAAAGTAAATAAATAAATAATAGTTTGGACTAGGCACACTAATTCCCTATACGCCATTACTAGTTATCTCCCACCTTATATGTGGAGTTAAATTGACCCAGAGAAGTGGGACTTTGTTTTCAAATTCCATAGTCCATGTATTCTACAGCCTTAACAAAGACAATTGCCTTGTAGTGCTTCACGCTCCTTCACCAGTACTTTCTAGTAAACTGCAGTTCGTATTCCGCTGAGGATGTGTGAGAACTCACTGGGAGGACTCATCCCATCCACCCCACCCTTCCCTTCCTTTCCTCCCCTGTTATCCCCTGGTGCTGCCTTTTGTCTCTCTCTACTCTCTCTTGTTGGAGCTTTTTCACCGGACAGAGGATTGGGAAAGAGAACATGCAGGATCTGTAGTGAAAAGTGTGGCTGCATGCTTGGTGCTCCAAGATGCTGCTGCTAATGCTGCAGGTAAACTGAAGGGGCCAAGTTGATGACAAAGCCCCGCAGATCCAGATACCTCTCAGCTGAGTAGTAGGACCACAGTCCTGGAGACCGGAAGAGAAGGAGAAAGCAGCAACAGGATGTGGGAGGAGAGCTTTTTCCTTCCCAGTCCTCCCACCATCTCCCAGCCAGCTTGGTGTAGTGGTTAAGTGCATGGACTCTAATCTGGGAGAACCGGGTTTGATTCCCCACTCCTCCACTTACACCTGGCTGGATGACCTTGGGCAAGCCGTAGTTCTGATAAGAGCTGTCCTTGAAAAAGAGTACTTTCTGTCAAGAGCTCTCTCAGCCCCACCTACCTCACAGGGTGTCTGTTGTGCGGAGGGGAAGGGAAAGGAGTTTGTAAGCCGCTTTGGGTAGTAAAGGGCGGGGTATAAATCCAATCTCTTCTTCTCCTTCTTGGATCCCTGTTTTGCTCAGGTCCTCCCCACACTTTCATCCTACCCGTTACACCTGGCCTACATGGTCTCTCTGTCTCCCCTCTCTCCCCTACTCACACTGCCCCTTCCTGCATGCCTGCAATGTCTCTCTCTCTTCTTCCCCACCTGCCCCTTTCTCTGTTGCCAGGCACAGCCCCTTATCTCTTAAAGACACAAGAGCCCTGCTAGATCAGACCAGTGGTTCATACTGTATTACAGAGTGGCCAATCAGTTCCCCTGGAGGGCCAACAACAGGGCATAGAGGCCAAGACCATCCCCTGATGTTGCCTTCTGGCACTGGAATTTAGAGGTTGACTACCTATGACCTTGGAGGTTCCCCTTAGTCACCATGGCTAGTAGCCACTGATAAACCTATCCTCCATTAATCTACCTAATCCCCCTTTAGAGCTGTTTATTCCTGTGACCATCACTACATACTCTGGCAGCAAATTCCACACTTTAATAACTCGCTGTTTAAAGACGTATTTCCTCTTGTCGGTCCTGAATCTACTGCCCATCAGTTTCACTGGATACCCTCGAGTTCCAGGATTTCAACTCTCTCCACCCCATGCATAATTTTATAAAGCTCTATCATGCCCCCCCCCCCACTTGTCTCTTCGAAACTCAAACGTCCCAGCTTCTTCAGCCTGTCCTCATAGGGAATGTGCTCCAACCCCCTAATCAACTTGGTTGAACCTCTTCTCTACTTTTTTCGGCTCAGCTCTGTGACATCCTTTTTGAGATAGTGACCAGAACTGTACGCAGTATTCCAAATGAGGCCGCACCATAGATTTATACAGGGGCATTACAATATCAGCCATTTTATTTTCAACCCCTTTCCTAATCATCCCTAACACAGAGTTTGCCTTTTTCACTGCTGCAGTACATGGGGTTGACATTTCACTGAGCTATCCACTACAACCCCAAGATTTTTTCCCCTCTCAGCAACTTCAGACCCCATTAGCCTACACTTGAAGTTGGGACTTTTTGTCCCAATGTGCACCCCCTTCCACTTACCAAGGCTGAACTTCATTTGCCACATTGTTGCCCACTCACTGAATTTGCAGAGATCCTCTTGGAGCTCTTCACAGTCAGCCTTGGTTTTCACCATCCTGAATAATTTAGTGTCATCTGTAAACTTGACCACTACACTAATCACCCCTAGTTCCAGATCATTTCTGAATAAATTAAATAACACCGGCCCTAATACCAATCTTTGTCGGACCTCACTACTTCCTTCCTTCCATTGGGAGAACTGTCCATTATTTCCTATTCTTTCCTTCCTGTAATTTAACCAATTTTTAATCCATAAGAGAACCCATCCTCTTATCCTATGACTGCTACATTTACTCAGGAGTCTTTGTCAAAAGACTTTCGAAGGTCCAAGTATCCAATGTCTACCAGGTCATCGTTGTCTACATGCTTATTCATTTTTTTAATGAACTCCAAAAGGTTGGTGAGGCAGGACTTCCGTTTGCAAAAGCCATGCTGATTTTCCCTCAGCAAGTCTTTGTTCCTCTATGTGACTAATAGTTCCGTCTTTGATTACAGTTTCTACTAATTTGTCTGGGACAATGTTAGGCTGACTGGCCTATAATTTCCTGTTTCCCTTCTGGAACTCTTTTTAAAAATTGGTGTAACATTTGCTACTCTCCAGTCTTCTGGTACAGCGGCTGAATTCAGTGACAGCATGAATTCAGTGACAGCATTGCCAGCATGGTTGTTTTCCTTCCCTACCCCTACCCCTTCTTGCTTGCCAGCACAGTCCCTCTGTGTATCCTCTCTTTTCCAGTTGCAGCCTTTTCTTCGGCTGCTCCCTTCAAGTCGTATAACTGCTTACCAGGATTCCTAGGCACCACCCATTATGGTGGTTGAAATCTTACATGTTCTGGCATTCAAAAAATATATTTATGTCCTCCTTGCCTTTTTGTTTGTTTTTAAATTCTTCTGCAAGCCCAAGGGTTTCCCCAGATGTTTTAAAACTTTATCTGTATAGGGTCCTGTTTTGTGCATATTTTATCTGCCTTCCAGGGCCATGCACACTGTTAAGCTATTGGTGTGCTGCAATTGAAATATGAGCGGTTGGCCTTGAAAAAGAACCTGTCCCATCAATATCTCTTTGCTGATTACTATGAAGATTTACAACATTTCTCAGTAAATTACTGCCAAGTTGGATTTTTGAATTACCAACTCATTGTGTATTTATTTGAACTGATACTTTGTGATATGTGAACACCTCTAACTGATTTCTCACCTAGTATTTAATGTTTGGTGCCAGCACTGTGAAATAAATCTCTAGAATGATGTAAATAGTTTTTTACGTGCAACTCTGGAGCCATGTACTTAGTACTTTTTGTTGGAATTTTCAACATAATCCCTGAGATTTGTTACTATGTCAAGAAGAAGAAGAGGAGGAGGAGGAGATTGGATTTATACCCTGCCCTTCACTCGGAGTCTCAGAGCAGCTTACACACTCCTTTCCCTTCCCCTCCCCACAACAGACACCCTGTGAGGTAGGTGGGGCTGAGAGAGCTCCGACAGAAACTGCTCTTTTTCAAGAACAGCTCTGCCAGAACTATGGCTTGCCCAAGGTCATCTAGCAGCTGCAAGTGGAGGAGCGGGGAATCAAACCTGGTTCTCCCAGATTAGAGTCAGCACACTTAACCACTACACCAAACTGGCTTACTTCAAGTTCTATTCCATTCCAGATTAGTAAAGTACATTATTTGTTCAGGTGGAGGGGGGGGAAATCAAGTTTTTCTCATTATTTGTACCTTTTCTGAAAAGGCCTCTAATTGTTCTTTTTTCTTATGTCGTCGCTGTCGTGACAGGGAAGGCTCATAATCAGATCCTTGGGGCTGAAAACAATAGGTGCTTTCATTCTGAATTTTACCTTTATTTTCTGCTGGGTTTCCACAGATGGCTTCATCCTAAGAACACAAAATACAATATATGTGTCAGGTCCAACAGTCAAACAAATGGAGTCTTCCAAGAAGCATATACTTTATTGTCAGCAGGAGTCGTTTCGTAGAAAAAGAGCTAGGGGAACTCAATAGCATAACTCATTAGCATATGCCACACCCCCTGACATCACTGGAAGTGTGTCATAAGGCCACACCCCCTGACATCACTGGAAGTGCGTCATAAGGCCACACACCCCGCCCCCAACGGTCCTGGCCGCCGCCGGCCTTGCAGTTCCACTGCCGAGCCCCATAAGGGGCCCGGCGGTGGACCTGCAAGGCCGGTGGGAGTGCAAGGAAGCCCCGCAAAGGCCCTTCCTGGCCCCAGGCAGGCAGGGGTGGGGAGAGGCAGGGAGGAAGCAACTTACCCTCCCTCTTCTCCTGCCTCCTCCTGGCTGAATGAGGGCCGGAAGCGGGGTGGCCGAAAGCAGGGTGCGGGGCTTCGTCATGTGCCCCGCCCCCCGTACCTCACCCGGGGGAACTGTGATCCCCCGCGATCCCCCCGAAATGACGTCTGATTGTCAGTACTATTGGTCAAGAACACAAGCCCTGTTAGGAATAAGTAAAAATGGAAAGCTTACTGAGATATACAGAGTTCAAACGATCCCCCCCCGTGGGCCAATCGGCCTGATTCCCGCGGGCGGGAAGGAATAACCGATGCAGCCAAGCTGGGAAACGAAACCAGTCACATGGCTGATGAATATGAAGACATTACAACTAGATAGTGGTATAAGGTTTCAGATAACAGAAGAAGCGAGACAGGGAAAGGAATGCGGCACCCAGTTGTACGCAGGTCAGGCGGGTGCCCCCTCAGTCCATAAACAATATGGCAGCATAGCTGACAATATGCTTTCCAGACACAAGTATAGACACATGGTTGAAAAGTACCTCATGACTTCATAAGTACCTCTTTTCTGTTGTTATTATAACCAAAATTACTTTCATTTATGTAGTCAGTCATCTATAAGACAATTTTGCATTACCTTAAACCTTTTCAAAATGTAAAATCCAAAAAATCCACTCAACTAGGCCCCATGCCCAGGGCTTGTATTTGGATATAATGCTCATTGTCCACTGATGCAGAAGAGGTACAATTTTTGCCAATTCCTCCCTTTCACTGCACACCCCCATACTATTCCTGGAGAGGACTCTGTGCCCCTGAGGGCTTTCGAAGGGCATGGTGAGCTGCAGAGGATAGTAGTATAATTCCACTCTGTGAGTATAGCAGAGCTCATGGCACTTTGGAGCAAATCTATTATACTTTGCCTTTTAAAGCATCTCATTTACATTTGTAAAAGCAGCTGAACCAGCCATGGGGACTGTACAATTAAAGGGATTTTGAGGTGCCTTCACAGCCCTAAGATCAAGCAGACCTTTGGTTGTTCTTTCATCACCAGAATATTACATAATATTACTATTCCCCCACCCTGAATAATTCTCAACATCTATTTCAGTCCTCTGGGTGAAATCCGGGCTGTGTATGTGACTCCTTCATTTCAAGAAACTGGTGTTCTGGCCAGCTAAGATCCCCGCTGAAAACTGCCATTTTTAAAAATACAGCAACAGGATCATCCATTACAACATTCACTTCTAATCCTTAAGCAACTCTAAAATTAGGCCATTATTTCAGACAGAGGGCTGTGACCAACGAAGAGGTTACTTGGAAAGTTCATGAAATTCCTGCTTCATAGCTCAATCTGTGCTAATTTCAGTTCTATTCAACACTAAATCCTTTTACAATCCCCTCTTGGTTTCAAAAGCAGTTTGTGATATGATGGAAGAGGCAATTTGCTGTTGGGTTAGCCTGAAGTGTATTTTTGGGTGGTACTTTTATACCCAGTTGGATGCTTCCATTGTGTGCTCCATCTTCTCAGAAGGATAAAGGTACCAACTGACTCAGGTTCCATTTTCTCTTTGCAAACATGCTCAACATTCTCCATAGGATATTATTAAGATCATGGCCTAAAATATATTTTCCCCTCCCCAATACTTTTCTGTAATTTTGTTTTCTAACTTCCGAAGAACTTGAAAGCTTCCCCATTCTTTTGCCTTATTTTGGTCTTAAAAGTATTAACTATCTCGTATTTTTGAATTTTGTTTCTCACAGTAAGTATAACATCACAAAAGAACAAGCAGTAAAATATCAAAACTCTTGTTGATAATACCTTGCAGATCTTTAAAGTGGAACACAGTCCTGGTTCAGATGGGTAGCCACGTTGGTCTGAAGCTCAGAACAAAGTTTGAGTCCAGTGGCACTTTTAAGACCAACAAAGTTTAATTCTGGCTATAAGCTTTCATGAAGTGCGCATGCATACAAAAGCTTATATCCAGAATTAAACTTTGTTGGTCTTAAAGGTGCCACTGGACGTACAATTCCAGTTATTACACAATTTTTGCCATAAAATTTACTCTTTTTTAATTATTGCAATGAGCCTATTTTGTTGGATATTTAAAGTTGAAGTTGACCTCGAGCCATTTCAAGTTCTTTGGCTTGTGTCTACAGTCTACAAAACACAAGGTCACCACCACATAAACTGCTTCCAGTTCCATTAATTTACTGAACTCTCCAGTTTACTCTGAAATGGGCTGGGGTGGCCATTTTACAAGCTCAAGCCTGCATATTTCCTAAAACATGTACCATAGTGTTGGCTACCATGCCTGTATGGATATTGTAGGACACTTATAGTGCAATCCTTAGGAGAGTTACTCCAGTCTAAGGTCATTCATGTCAACAGACTTAGACTGGAGTACCTCTCCTTAGGATTGCACTTGGAGGCACTTGAGATCCACCTTACAAAATTCTTCCCTGCGCAGGAGGCCACTAGCTTGAATCTCACATGCCGTGCAGAAATATGAACTTTGAATGCTTACAAGAATTACTACAGGAGTACACGGTGCCAGCAGTTTCTCAGTAGAATCCAGATTCTGGAAAGAGAGAGTAATATAGTAACAGTCACTGGTAAGACTATTAAGTAAAATGTATACAAGCATTAGTTAAAGACACAAGAAATATTTAAGAGTATATTACTGTAAAATAAACATTTAAAGAAAAAGTGAGGATGTATACTGCAAACAATGCCTAGGATTCAAAGGAGGCAATCTGTGTTGAGTACCCAAGAAAACTCTGAGCTTGCATGTTTTGAACACCAGGCCACTACATTGTACAGTAAACTACTTTGGAAAGTAAAAAATAAATACAATTCATCTCGCTTTGTGATACAGTATAAAGGGCTGCTTACTCAAAGCCTCCCATACAAGCCTTCGTTTAAACATGCTCCATGATTTTTTAAAATCATATGAACACTGCCCGTGATCAAAGATTATCCCTACCTAGTCAATCATTTATACCTCCAGCAATTTCTTATAGGCTTCCAACTTGTTGAGCTTTGCAATTTCTAATGCATTCTGCTATAAAAGCACGTTTACGATAAAATAATTACTTGATCACTTGTGTTTGGGGCCTCTGAAATAGGCTGAAGAAGTTTCATGGTGTCATTGCTACCATCCATTTCACCAACAACGGTCTTCTTAAAATCTACATTTTCTGTCTTGGAATACAGCTTCGTGATTTTCTGTAACTTGTCTTCTTTAAACACTGGGCCATTTAATGCTGTATCCAAGTCTGATTCACTGGGAAGACATGAACACCTCTTTTTGTTATCCTCTACTGAATATTCATTTTTTGAGTTCCTCTTTTCCAGGGGAACAATAACTATGTCCACTTTGCTCATCGTAGCTATAGATACATCTGTGCTGTTCAAACCATTCTTGTTTATACTTTTTTCAGGTTCAGCA